CCCCTTAGCTGTTGTAAATTCACTGTAAACCACGGCTTCACGGGGTTTATTGCTTTTATAAAACGGTTATTCCATATACGTTGTAAGGTTTCACAGAATAAAACAGAGCAAATAAAGTGTAATGATATAAATAAAAACAGTATTCTTCCACCAAACAATGTAGTTCCTCAGAAACAGTTGTGGTTCCAACAAAGTGGTTGCCGAGCAACACACAGAAGTAAACAAAGGTGTATGTTTGTAGTGTAATTTACAACAGCTTCGATTGTGGCTCAACCAATCAGAATCAAGGACCGGAACTATCCGTTTTATAAAATTAAGTTAATGTTTTAATGTCATCCACAGCGGCGGCGGAGAAAGAGACCATCAAAACAGCGTACACCAAGATGCTGGATGCTTATGGGATCCTAGGAGTTCTTCGTCTTAACCTTGGTACAGTTTCTCAGCTTCTTTTTTAATTTTTTTAATTTGACTTGCTGGTTGTGTTTGTCATCACAACAAATACAAATCCACCCTGTCGCCAGATTTAAAGAAGAAAAAAAACTATGTCAACAATATGAGTCACCTGCAAGTCACCTCTGAACTCACTTCCTTGAAGGGATAGTTCACCCAAAAATGAAAATTTGATGTTTATCTGCTTACCCCCACCTTTAACCCTTCAGTGGTCTTCAGTCATTTTAATCTAAAAAGGTTTTATGTTTAGATTTTTTTTACTTATCTGGAATGGTATGAAACTCAGTGACTTTTACAATCACATGGCACCAATCTGACAAATACCTTTGCTCTGTTTTTAACCTAAACACTGTATTAATTGAAAATATCAAATACATTTTTTTCTAATATTTGTATTATTTTATACAGAAATAAAAGGTGCTTAATTTAGAGGTAAATATTGTCTTGAACCATGAAATCCCCTCAAAATACAAAATATTAAAGAAAAAATATTATTGAAACAAAATATAGTACATCCGTTTCTTTAAAAAAAGTTACACTTATTGTTTTCGCTCCACTGAAGATGACAATTGTGACTTCTAAGTGAGGTATACCAGAGGGTTAAATGTCATATATGGCATGCCAAGACTAAGATTGTTTTTATTTATATTCCCTACAGGTTATTTTCCTTGATGACAAAGTATCTTCCTTCATTCAGATCCGAGGGTCAATACCCCTGTTCTGGGAGCAGCCGGGAATTCAGGTACAATAAAGCCTTGTATCAATATGACGTATGCTTGTATTCAAATCACATATTTGCATTGCGCTCCACTGAATTGAGATTGCTGGAGTTCCAAGCCCCTGCTGTCTCATCATAATGAACTTATTATTTTGTGTTTCCACTTCGTCACACATGGCCAGTGCTGACCCCCTTTATTCATATTATCAGAAACACTCATTTCAGGGGATTATGTTGCAGCTGAATCAAAGTCGAGAGGCAAAAGGACAGCATGGAAACCGACAGCTGGTATATCGAAGCTTTAGTTTTGTCTGGTGGATGATCTGTTCTTCACTGCAAAGAGTTTGTGCAATGTCAGTCTGTGAAAGCTGCATCTAAACCGACCGTGATTCATTTTGGAAAGGATCCAGATTCTGATAAATCTATTGGCGTCTTGTGAAATCGAGTTAAGATGCCAGCAAGCAGGTCAGGTGTCTTTCCTCTGACATTGCATAGACATTATCATTGTTGCTTTTAGTGGGAAGCTGGTGAGGTGACCCTTCTTGAGCTGTTTTTCAAAGCTTTGCACAGAACCTGAATGAAAGGTCTTCTGTGTCACTTCGGGCCATAGTGGTATTGGTTAAGGGATTCCATTGTCTTCAGTGCAAAGCTAAGTGCAAAATAAAGGAAGTAGAATCACCACAGGATCCCAGAAAGCTCAAGGTAATGTGAGCTGGTCTCTGCTGCCATTCCGAATGTATGAAATATTAATGGCAGGGACCTGCAGAGGCAACAAACAGAACTGGGTGGGACTCTGACGGACTGAGTCTAAATAAAGCATAAATGTCCAACAGTTCTAAACCTGAGATCTTCAGCCTTTTTGAATTCAAGTCCCCCTTGTTGCAAATAGAGGCAAAACAGGTACTATCTTATACATACTGATAAAAAAATAACAAGTTAACATATTTAAATGTATTGCAAATGTAAATACATTGCATTAAAATAAGTAATAATGATTTTATTTATTTTTTCATTCATTTTTTTATTCATTTTTCATTAATTGGAATAAAGTTGAAATAAAATAAAATGTAAATATTAGATGCAAAAACTTAAACTTATGAAACTTAAACCAAAAATTAGAAATTCAGAAATTTATTTTAATTTTATTTCAGAATTTATTTCAGAAAACTGAAATTCAAATAAGTTGAAGTTGAAGTACTAAAAAGAAATGAAAGCTAAACTGAAATAAAAATTAAATTAAATTAAAAATTAAAGCTAAAATAAAAATATTTTTAAAAATTGTGAAAATGGCAAAAGCATATAAGACATAACAAAAATACAAAAAAACGTAAATTTAAATAAAAACTAATAATATTAAAATATTTAATTACTGACTATTGATATTTTAGTATTAATAATAATACTCAAAAATAAATAGATTTTTCACATTGGCAGACCATCTGCAGTGCCATCGTAGACCCCTTGTTGAAGACCCTTGTTGTAAAATGTTGAATAAATTGGGTTCAAAGGTGTAACTATTTCAGTGACCGAGTTATATGAGACTGCTGGAAATGAGAAGCCAGTCATAGCCTAGAGATGGGAAAGTCCTCTGTATAGCTTACCTATTGTGGTTGTAGGTGTGAATGTAATACATTATACTGAAGGATGTGAGAGTGGTCAAAAATCACATAAATCGAAAACCATTATTTTAAAGGAGCTTCCTGCAACTATTAAAAACTGCAGCTAGCTAACATTAGCATCTGAAACTTCTGTGTAGAACACGAATCGTGACTGTCTAGCCAGGATTCATGTGTTTCCTGGAATGATCGGCATCTCTGTTAGATCTTCAGGCTTCAGTGAGCTTGTGAAATCATTACAGATGGTTCCACTGTCTTATTCTGCGCAAATGTTTTTCGTATCTCAAATGCAGCTCAACTCCGCAGGCGGGCCAGGCCTGTGTGGTCTTTCTCTTGCTGTCTCTCTCATCTTTCTTTCCTTCTGCCACCTTAATTTCCTCTTGCACCAAATATGAAACAACTCAACTCACAATTCTTCCGTTTTTTGTTCTTTCTTTGTCTTTCCACAAAGGTCGGATCTCATCGTGTTAAGCTGTCTCGTGGTTTTGAAGCAAACGCACCGGCTTTTGAGAGGTAATTAAGATTCTGCTGGTCTCTGATGATGCTTGCTCTAGTATCCAGCTGTTCTGGCTCTGGCCCAAGTGTTAGTGCATGATGAAAGCAATCCAGCAGATATTTGCGGTCCTGCTTCAAACAGTCCTGTTATTTAACACAGTCTGGATGGGCAAGCTCAGTCATGTCTAAGGATGTATTTTCAGCTAGTCGGTGGGTAATTAAGGTCCACCAGAGCCCGATCAGATGGATTTCATAGTCGGCAGTTACACACAGAACAGCTGGATTAAGTGTAGCAGGGGGTCTCGAGGCATCATTTAAAAGTTGAACTTTTTTGACTTAGCTTTTTGCGGTCTTATAAATGCAAACTGCTTATGGTGTCTTTCCTCTTGCACCAAATATGAAAGAACTCAACTCACAATTCTGCCTTTTTTTGTTCTTTCTTTGTCTTTCCACAAAGGTCGGATCTCATCGTGTTAAGCTGTCTCGTGGTTTTGAAGCAAACGCACCGGCTTTTGAGAGGTAATTAAGATTCTGCTGGTCTCTGATGATGCTTGCTCTAGTATCCAGCTGTTCTGGCTCTGGCCCAAGTGTTAGTGCATGATGAAAGCAATCCAGCAGATATTTGCGGTCCTGCTTCAAACAGTCCTGTTATTTAACACAGTCTGGATGGGCAAGCTCAGTCATGTCTAAGGATGTATTTTCAGCTAGTCGGTGGGTAATTAAGGTCCACCAGAGCCCGATCAGATGGATTTCATAGTCGGCAGTTACACACAGAACAGCTGGATTAAGTGTAGCAGGGGGTCTCGAGGCATCATTTAAAAGTTGAACTTTTTTGACTTAGCTTTTTGCGGTCTTATAAATGCAAACTGCTTATGGTGTCTTAGAAAAATCAGCACTGATGGCGTGAGATGCTGAAAATGCAGTGTAAGATCTCTAGCCCCTTAGTCATGCTGATATAAACACAATTCTAAACCCATTATCTGCAAGTAATCATTTGACCATAAAAATACATCTAAAAATAATGGATCCACTTTGTATTAAGTGTCTTTAACTACTATGTACTAATATTTGAATTAACCATAATCATTAATCATACAATGCATGTTATTACCTTGTACTTGTATTTAAAAAAATACCTGGTTGTAATTACATCTTCCATTATCTGCAAGTAATCATTTGACCATAAAAATACATCAAAAAATAATGGATCCACTTTGTATTAAGTGTCTTTAACTACTATGTACTAATATTTGAATTAACCATAATCATTAATCATACAATGCATGTTATTACCTTGTACTTGTATTTAAAAAAATACCTGGTTGTAATTACATCTGTAATTAATTTTTGTAGTTATAGCTATATATTGTATAGATATAACTACAAACCCTTTAACCCACCCCTAAACCTAACTATACCATTATCGTATCCCACCACAATTTTTTTTTGACATAATAACATATTAGTTAAAGGTACCTAAAAAAAAAAGTGGGACCAAAATATATATTTTAAGTAAATTTAAATACATTGCATTAAAATAATTATTAATAACTAAAATGTATTTATTATTAATCAAAATAAAACTGAAATAATGTAAATATTAGATGAAAAATATAAACTTACAAAACTTGCAACATTTGAAGAAAAAAAAATAGGTTGAAGTACTAAAATTACTAAAACTAAGCTGAAATTTAAAAAAAGAAAAAAAAAGTTAAATAAAAATATTTAAAAAATTGAGAAATTGGCTGCTGGGTGGTTGCAAATGTGTTTACAGAATTTTTTTTTTTTACAATTTCTCTATAATATGATATAGTACAATTTATTGACACTAAAATTTAATTAAAAAAACATTTATTTACCCAATATTTAAATATTTTCAAAACAAATCAGAAAAAAAAGATTAAACCTGTTATTTATATTATTTAAAATCCTACATTCATTCAAATGAAAGCTCTGGATGAGGTCAGTCTTTGTGAACCTGTTTTAAAGCATTTGTTACATTTGGGTGGGTTAATAACCCCATGACCTTGTCAAGGTCACTAAAGATCTTCATCAATAATAAATCTTTGTATGATTTTTTTTTTTTTTTTTTTTT